ATAGGTCCTGGCCTCGGTGGCCACAGGACCTCCAACCAAAGCCCCCCAACACCGCACCGCAGCCCTGTGCTGGGTGACCGATCTGGGGATCTGCGGAGAGGAGATATGGGTGTAGGTGGGGACCCCATGAGGAGACAACAACACCACTTGGACCCCAGTTCAGCTGTACGCAAGACCAAGAGGGAGAAGATGGAAAGCATGCTGAGGAACGACTCTCTCAGCTCAGACCAGTCAGAGTCGGTGCGCCCACCACCCCCGAAACCCCACAAAACCAAAAAGGGAGGGAAGATGCGGCAGGTGTCTCTGAGCAGTTCAGAGGAGGAGCTGGCCACCACACCAGAGTACACCAGCTGTGAGGATGTGGAGATAGAGAGTGAGTCAGTCAGTGAGAAAGGTAAGGACCACACACACCATCACCTCCTTTGCTTAGCATTTACCTTATATGATACAAATGCAGAGTGCTCAGTTGTGTTTTCATACAATTGTAATGCCTTTCTTTTATAGTATTGCTGCCATAATATAGTCAAATGTAATTTAATTAACATGTAATTATTGTTGCTGTCTCATGTTGATATTGATTCTTTATATAGCTGTTGACCTCAGATTCCCCAGTCTACAGTGTACAGTGTGTGCTCTGTATGTTTATATGTGTATTTTTATGTTCAGGGCTCATTATTTTTGGTTATAAAATCTTAGCATTTTTCTGTGTTTATTTTGATTTACCAAAACCTCTGTAAATTGGCTTACAACATTAAAAGCATAAAAATCTGGGAAAATAATTGTGTCATAACTTGGGATTTGTAAATCTGGCATTTAGAGTAAAAATGTTAAAAACCAGAAAACAATGACCCTTCTATATGTATGTTTAAAACAGTGTTGTGTTGTACTGTAGGTTTGTTGTTTGTGAATTTAATCTAACAGCTCCGGTGCCTTTGAGGAGGAGGCTTATGGACTCATGAGCCAGATGTGTTTCAGTGTGAATGGGTGTTATGTGTATGAATGCAATGCTACTGCTTTAAAGGCCTCGTCTTTTTGCTGCGTGCTATGCCACACTTTGCTGGGTTCTACCACAGCTGTCTGTTCTGGTGGACAGTGTTACATAACCGACAGACCGAGAGAATCAGGGAGTGAGGTAGGGTTGTGGGTGTCTAGTGAAACAAGGTGAGCTGAGTTAAGAATCATTTCAGTGAATTTTATTGAGTATTTTTATATCATCAGCTGCTACATAGAAATGATTGAATGTTATTAGCAAAAGGTAATAAAAGAGCAGAGGGTGGTGATGTGTCTTCCTGCAGTATTCAGTCCCTCCCCCATTAGCCTTGACCTCTTGACTTCCATACAGTTTTGTAACCATCCATATCGCCCTGCTGAGGTCATTCCTGGTAAAGTGCCCCATTACTAAGTGGCAATAGCGTTATAGTTTAATCAAGTGAGGATGAGAACAAAAACTGGTGAAGGTTGGAGCTAGATGGACATATTAGATGGGTGACTGTGGTTCAGTGGGTAGAGCAGTCGTCTCCCAACTGGAGGGTCAGAGGTTCAAATCTCAGTGCCCGTAGTCCACGTGTCAAAGTGTCCTTGGGCAAGACACTGATCCCTAAGTTGCCCTTGATGGTTAGAGCCACCGGTTGAGTTGGTGCCGCAGATGGCTGCCATGGTTCTGTAGACAAATTCCTTGTGTGTAACATACTTGGCCAAATAAAGGTGATTATTACTGTATGTCTCTTTTCTCACAGGAAGAAAGCAGATTCATGGTTTTTCACTTCATGTTCTGTTGATTTTTCTAATTAGCTTTACCAGTTTCATTCATATAACTGTCAGAATTAAAAGACTGTTTAAGCATTACATTATTAATAAGTGAACGAATGAGTAGTGGGTCCAGTTTACTACAATGTATGCACTGTAACTGAAGTGGGATAGTTAGATATTGGCCTTGCCTGGCATCTGTAAAGTAGAAATGGATGTTATTGCTCCTGGCAAATGTGCTGCCTGACACAGGTTCATCTGACTAAGTGTATAAAATAAACATACACTGATGAGCAAACAGTTGGATAGACTGAATTAAATGTTACATCAACATCAAAAACAATTGTTCAGACTGTTAGCTTCTTGACAGCTTCTCCTGGTTGATAGTTGTCTTAATTGCATATTGATTTCACTGTCAACCATTTAATTGCATAGGCTTTTACCTTAGAAACATTAAAAGCACTAGACAGAAAAAAAGATGAATGATTGTTGACAAATGGAGGAATAAAACATAGAAAGGAGGAGAATACAGTTTGCATTTGTCAGTAGCGCTGGGCCAAATGCCTGTGGCAGTGTTTAAGTGTTTAATCTTGAGCAGATCGGGGGAATTCAGTTGGCCTGTTCTGTTATGTAGCTGTTCTCCTCAGTAAGGGAAGCAGGCCTGCACCAAGGCTACATTATTGATGTGGGAGTTTTCAGGTTTCTAGGTAGCCACAAACTAAAAGAGGGAGAAGAGCAGGCTGTTTTGCGGGTCAGAGTTTCTCTTGTTTCTGTTTGTGTCTGTCTGCCTCCTCCACAAGCTGACCCGTGGAGGAGAGAAGGAAAACAAAGGAAAGAGTTGAACTACTGACCTAAATAAGTGTAGCTACAGGACATCCTCAGGCAGCTGATTATGTAGAGCTACCTTTGGTCTTCAGTATAATTGACAGATTTATTAAATTTTGATATAATTAAGGCTGCTATGTATGCAAGGGTACGAAACTGGTTCAGAAAATTATGCTGTACCATTCATTTTGTGTTCTTGTTTGCATTCAGTTACTGTTATGTAACAGACAGCAGAGAGGGTATCCATACTTTAGGTCAGAGATCTGGACATGTGATGTTCCAAAATGTATTAATATACTGAGGAAAAGCCTTATATAATACGGTCATATGCTATACTGTGTGCACTCCAAAATATAAATCACTCAGTTTTGGCAGTGCATAGAATTTACAAATGAAAAGTATAGCATAGCTGTAGAAATGGTATAGATGTGTTTTAGTTGGATCAGGTCATGCAGGTGTTTTAAATGCTCTCAAAAAGAACATGTTTAGGCACGGATCATGATTTACATTGACTTTTCACTGTGACCCTATGCATGAAGGAATTTTCCTGCATGTACTGTAACATGCAAGCCAGCACTCTTTGATTAACTATGATAGAGACCACATACCCTCTCCATGAGTGAGAAAATGCCAAAAAGAACAAACAAACAAAAAAAAAAAAACTAAGTGAGAGCAGCTATGAGGCCGTAGCAGGAGAGAAATGTAAAAAGAGGGCAGAAAGCACCCTTTGGCCATATGTGGCCCGTCAGCATTTTGGAGTGTGCACTGAGCTTGACTGTGCCAGGAAATAGGTATGTAACAGCAGGCTAAGCATGGTGCATGTCATGCTCTCCTTTGTCCTGCAGAGGAGCAAGAAGGGCTTGATGGGGTAAGATGGAGGGGAGACCAAGGGGAGGAGTAGACTCGAGGTGAGAGGGTGTGCCAACTGTAATGGGCCTGTTTTGTGCCTCTACACTGGAGACTGATTTATCATGATGGCCTCTCCCTGTGTTTTCCTCTTTATTGATCTCCCTAACATGCAGTCTCATAATAGTGCCGAACAGACAGAAAAAGAGAGGCTGCCTAACTACAGCTGAGACGTCGACATTGTGTAGTGACAGCCTATCATACATCGCCATTAATGGCTTTTGGGATCCATTTATTTCATCTGAGTAAGTCTGCTGGGTTTGTAGCCTGTGCACTCTAAAATACTCTCATTAATTTAACCTTTTATAGCTTAATTGACAGTGCTGCTATGTTTTGTGCATAATAAGTTAATTTAGTGAGCATTATACTTTAGAATATAAGTTAAGATCTGTGTCCCCAGAGGTTTGACACTGTACCAGCTTCCTAGCATGGTGACTATGTTTAAACTTTTTTCTTTTCTCCTCTCTATTCTTGAATTGTAGTAAAACAGCATCAATAATTAATGATCCAATTAATAGTTTACACTGGTTTTTAGTGAGCTGTCAAAGTGATAAAGAGCCTCCTGGTGGTGAACTCTGCCGCTGCCTGCGCTCTGCCTTCGCCCTGAATCAGCACTTTGTGGGGCCTTGGAGCCGGGGTGAAACGGCAGGGCTGGACGCAGACTGCTGATGCTCACAATTTATGGCCGTGATGAGTTTTCTGCTCCATGAAAAACAACACCGTGCCTTGCTGGGGATCAGTGCCCAACAGTGGTGTGCCACTGTTAATAAAGCTTTGGAGAAAGAAAGAGAAAAGGCTGAATGTGCCTCCATGCTGGCACACACACAGATTCTCTTTGATGGACATTAAGGGCGGGGAGGGGGCTGCTTGAGGTAGAGGAGTGTGATGCTGAGGAAGAACAGACACAGGTGAAGATGAAGCTGGGACCTGTGTGACTATTTGTAGCTCCAAAGTAGGCAAATAAATCTAAACTTAAGCCTTAAGCTGTCTGGACTCTCATGGCCACATTAGGAAAATGGAGAGTGTCAACCACGCTGAACTGTGTTCTGGTGTTTATGCTGCTGACAGAATAGCAGCTGGGAGGCAAAGAGGGTAATCACTGTTGTCAGCTCTTGGTTAGAGGGCCGCAGAGGGCAAAGCCTGTCTGGGGACATCCATAATGTTTTATCACAGTGCATAACTCTGTACAGTAAGTAGTTTTAGCACTCCCTTTGACTGATGGATGGATAGTGATAGCAAAGGCAGAGAGGGAAGGAGAGGGAAGTGTGGCTCTGACTAACCTGGCAACTTAGTCCCCAATCTGAAGGTGAAGACAATCTTAAGTGTGGAAATGTCTTTGGAGAGCATTTTACTATGGCTATATATAGTATAATTATTAATATGTAATTAATATGTACTTTTTTGAAACACAATCAAATTGAAACATAATTTGAACCACTGCAACACAATATGTTAAAGCATAATTCCAGGTAGATACAGTTTTGTTATCATAGTTTTTGCCATCATTCTCAAGCAAGTGGCTCAAGCAGGTAATCACTTGTTAGTGGTTCAGTTCCCGCCCCACCCTGTCCACATGCTAAAGTCTCCCCCTGTACATCCAGAGGCATATGCAGTCTATTTGTATGACTTCCCTGATTTCCCTGTCCAGTATACATCCATTAGGTTGTACAGCTCTTTACCAGGGGAAGTGTGTGAAATGTGATGGATATGGCCCAGCGACTGCACAGAGGCAGTGTTTTCACAGTACCTTACCAGTGCCCATGGTCCTAAGGTTCACTGCAGCTACATACATTCATGCAAATAACTATATCAACAGCACATGTACAAGAGGAGGACCAGTGTCTGCTGAATGCCTGTCGGCAGCAGCTCTGTTGTTTAAATTACCCTGACTCATCCTTTATGTGCTTTAAAATGAGCACTTTCATTAGGAAAGCTCCTTGATTTTACCATCCCAGGGTGCATAGGAAAGCTGCCTTTATCCTCAAAGATCCAACCCACCCCTAGCACGAACTGTTCGCCTCCCACCCTCTGGCCGGAGATTCAGAAGTGTGAAATGCAGGACCACTAGACTGAAAAACTCTTTCTTTCTCTCTGCCATCAGACTCCTAAACAGCTGAGGAGTTTATTACCAGGAAATACGTCATGTACTGTCGACCTGTACTGTTTACATTCTCAGTTTGCACATGCATAATTGCACACTGACTGTTGACTGCTGCACATGCTGCTCCCATGTAGCATACATTCTCTTATTATATTCTTATATATTTTTATGCTGCATTTGCTGCTTAAAGTGCCTTAGATTTTGTGTTACTTATTTATCTACTTTATATTTCATTAGTATTTTGTGGCACTCATGTGGACGGCAAAGTAATTAATTTCATTGTACAGGGAAACACGTTTCCTAACTGTGCATATGACAAATAAACACTTTGAACTTGAACATAATTCACTTTATTACTGAATTGTAAAATAATTTGCCAGTGTAAGTGAACAACATTTAAATGCCCATTGCTGCTGCATAATTGCACGTTAAATACAGAAATATGCAAGGTCTCAGGACCACCAGTTTCTCAGCAGTCAGACAGTAGCATATCTCTCATAACTGCAATTATTTCTTCATATGGACGGCCTCAACCTTTAGCCTACATCACTACTCTCCACTGGGAGTCCCACCACTACCTTCAATACATTCAGTACTTTTCACTCTTTTTAATTAGCTTGGATTTTTAATCACAATGCTTCCCATCTCTCTGCTCCATGTAAATCCTGTACAATGACAATGTTAGTAAGAAAATAAAAAAGAACAAAAACTTGTCCCAGAAGCCTCCACCCTGTAACATCATTATAGCCAAATGCTCAGCGTGTATTTCTCAAGGCTGTTTCCAGTCATGATACTACAGAAGTTGTAATCAGAGCCCCTTCTTTAAAAGCGCGCCCTGGTGCACTTTAGAATAAGGTCAGTTACAGCTTGTGTGGCACTGGAATCTGAATCCCCAGTCAAACACATTGGACATCTGTCCCACTCCCTGCTACAGATGCAGCTATTGTAGGATAAGATAGCAGCATACTTTCTGTGTTGAGTTTACATGTCCTCAGATTTTCCTGCGATGTAGTGGTCGTGCACATTATGTATATATTTTAGACATTAAAATAGAACCTCTGAATTGTCTGTGGGTATGACTGCAGCTTGTTAGGCTTATGGTGGACCTTTCCTCCTGCCACCCAATGAGTGCTGGATTTGTTCTTTTGTCCTGCAGGAAAGACAAGGACTAGAGGAGGAATAAATATACTGTTTGGTCATGTCAAAACAGAGAATTCGCAGGCTTGTGTCCCCCCCTTACTGTGCCGAGGTGGTCAAGTCAGTACTGAGCCTTTATGAATGCTGCATCTTTCTTTCTCCACAGGGATTGTGCACATGATGGTCGACTTTTTGAGTTTGAGCAGTATGTGTGAGCGTGTGTGCATAAATATTTGGATGTCTTGTTTAGTACTGTACTTTGTGCATGTGCATTTATGTCTGTCTCTCGTGCTTCGTTCTGTCCTCACTGGTCCCTCTTGCTGTCCTCTCTTGTGTATGTGCGCCCTAACCCCCCCTCCCCTACACCTTACAGGAGACTTGGATGGCCATTGGTGGGACCATGTATCTTGGCATAGCAGCGAGGCCTCCCCAATGTCTTTGGTGAGACATGTGGAGCCCTGCCTTGACCCCCCAACCCCCACCACCCCTGCCCTTTACTCCTATGTCTCTCCCTCTCTCTGTCCCCCACACCCTCTTCTCCCAGAGTCTTTTGTCATTTCATGTTTTCTTCGTTTTATTTACACCTTTGCATGTTGTTTTTCTGTTTTTCTTTCTGTTTTTATCCCACACCTGTAGGGGACAGTCAAAGGGGAAAAAGAAAAACTATTGAGCAGTCATTTATGTCCGAGCCAACACACACCTTATCTGAGAGGCAAAAGAATATGGTGCGCTTTGGGGGACACTCATTTGAAGAGGACTTGGCATGGTGTGAACCACAGGTTAAAGACTCGGGAGTTGATACGTGCAGTAGCACTACCCTAAACGAGGAGCATAGCCATAGTGAGAAGGTACTGAGACAATCTACTGTAGCCTGCATTTTGTTATTATTCTTATTTATGACTTACCCATCCAGTCTTTGTTTGCTTTCTGTCACTAAGTGTAAATAGGTGAGTTTTTTTTTGACGTTGTATAAATTGATTTCACTTGCGATTTCGTTCCTTTTTGTTTTTCGGTTCCTTTTGGCTCCACCTTGCTCAGTGTTGCTGATAAAGTCTTTTGGGGGCCCCCTCTTTGCTTGCTACTTGTACTGTACTTGCTGTTTTTGCTACCCAACCAGAAACTACACATCTTATATTACTTACAGTACAAAAGAAGACTGACACACAACCTCTCTGTTTGTCATGGCACACAGGAATGTGGGTCTCTCCTAGTTGCATGCTCGTTCTCCTCCGTATGTTGTGTTCTTGCTCTGCAGAGATCCTGTTTAGTGCAGTAGGAACACCTTTACTCAGACCTGACCCCCTGTCTCACTTTGCTGCCCTACCCAACAGCACCTGGTCTAGACAGAACCTGCCCCCTGCCCAACTTTCCACTCACTTCTCTAGCAAAATTCAAATGATTTGAAACACACAAAAAAGATGGGAGATTGGATTTGATTTCCATTAAAAAAAAATCTAAACATTTGTTTTTCTTTTTTCCCTTCCACTGCCACATCTGTAATTTCACCCTCTCTGTGTCTCATGACTTTATTCTGTGCTGTCTGTTTTTCCATTCTTTGTGATCTTTAAACTGACACCTCATGGTTTAGCTTTTTTGTATGCTCATTTGTATGTAGATGACCCTTTTCCCCCTTTTTCGTTCTCTGCTTTCCCTTCACTACTCCACTTGATGGTGGTTGTTTGTATGTAGTGAAGCACTGGAGCGAGACTCCAGTCTTCCTGCTCCAGTTTGAAGAGCTGATTTGAAGAGGAGTGTTGGGGCTGCTCGCTTTACTCTGCATGGGGCGCTGCATGAAGCTCACTCCACCCTCACACTGGCCGGTTCACACAAGCTCAGGAAACCCTTTTGTTGAGTTGTATTTGCAAGTTGTGCTGTGTTGTAAAAGTTGTCATCAGTACTTATGTCCATGATTAGACTTAGGGTTATTTTTAGGAACATCATTTAGAATATAATTAATTGAGCACCTTGTTATCTTAAAAAAAGCCCTTGATGAGTTTGTGTGAACCTTCTTCTCTGAGTGAATTAACATTACCCCCACACCCCTTTTCACTGTGAACAGTTGTCTGCTTTGCTGTGGAGTGATCAAATTCAAGTGGATGAGCTGATAAACTAAAAGTGTGTTGTTGCTCTGACACTGTAGCACCCAGTGACCTGGCAGCCGTCCAAAGATGGGGATCGCCTAATAGGGCGTATTTTGCTCAACAAGCGCATGAAAGATGGAAGTGTGCCGCGAGACTCAGGAGCACTGCTCGGTCTGAAGGTGAGCTTACCATATGTTGTGTGTCTGCAAGGATGAAGCAGTCACTCCCACATTGACACACAGAACGATTTACACTGGGCCGTCTTGCTTGATGCTGTGTCACCATCACTGTACTTTTAAACTAACATGTTATAATATGTATCTGTGACATACAGTACAAAGTATGTTAGATATGTCAAACCCAGTATTGGTTAGGTACAGGTGCAGTACTTTAACCTTTTCAGCTGTGAATCCTATAATTTTGTGGCCTCATTTTTGTCTGTGGTTTGTTGATTTTCTGCTTGATTTCTCTAGTTATTGACTAAATCATGTTGCTACTGAGTATTAATATTTATCAGACTTGATTATGTGCCTGATGAATATTAATGAGCTGCTTTTGCTTTTGAGCTGCATTCATCCTCTCAGAAGAAACAAGTCAGTACAATATCAGTGTTGTCACTACCAAACACTTGAAATATATATTTTTTTCACATAGTTATTACAGTGTTTATGTACTGAATAGTACTGTCACAATGCCCACATATTTTCCCATATTATATCACATACGTTTTCCTTCTATTGGTCATATTCTTGCTTTACATGATTAAAGCATTTACAGTGTTTTCTGTTGCTGTAAATGCTTTAGTTTCCCTTCTTTTTTAACTGTTGCATAAACCAGTGGGTACTGCACACTGGCAAAGAAAAAAAGCTGAGCAATCCAGAGGAGCATGGTGGGCCGTGAGGAGCCAGAGCAGAGACCAGCAAGATGGGGAAAAATCATTACTGATTGAATGAGCATGTTTGTGTCTGCTTAGTGCATCTGTGCATTTCTGTCTGCTCAGCAGCAGTCAGTCATTCAGTCCATCACCCTCTCTCCCTTTCTCTCTCTTTTTTCTTTGTGAGCCTCCCTCACTGCCTGCTGCCTGTTACATAAAGCCATTTCATTTAGCAGACAACCCTAAGCTCCTTTGTATGTTGGCATTCAACTGCCATTAAGGGGGATTTTTATTTGTATGATGCCCATGTAAGGTGAGCAGAGTGGAGTAGAGCCACTCAGGACTGTACAGCACTAGCCCACGGCCCTGCACTGTTACAGAACCAAAGAGCAGCACCAGAGTGTGTTCCTGAGGAACAAAGCATACTCATGGATTTTTTTTAACAGACTTGGAGTTTTAATATTGACCCTCTCCTTGTAATGCCTTTTTAGAGGAGTCATACCTTGTAGGCAAGAGCTAAAGCCATGACATCAACAAGATACACTGAGAAAAAAAAATCTGTCTGCTCCTGCAAGCTGCAGTGCACATGTTACATCTTCACAGGTGTCCTCACTGGTCCGCCGGCCGTCTCTATGAAGAGCACACATGGCACATTAATGTTGCAGTTACACTAACACCAACAGTTCAGTTTAGTTTAGTTTATATGTGCATTTAATTGCTAATCCAATCCCCTGCCTCCTTCTACAGGTGGTGGGAGGCAAGATGACAGAATCTGGTAGACTTTGTGCTTTCATCACTAAAGTGAGGAAAGGAAGTCTGGCAGACACTGTCGGACACCTCAGACCAGGTAATACACAACACACACAAACTTTTTTATAGAAATGAAATGAGTGGATTCAGTAGCGTGCATCCACACTGTGACAACGTAGTCAGCAGACAGACGCACTGACATATTTAATGTACCCTTCGGTGTCTCTGGTGTTTTTACAGGTGACCAGGTGCTAGAATGGAATGGGAAGATTTTACAAGGAGCCACATTTAAAGAAGTTTACAATATTATACTAGAATCCAAGCCTGAGCCACAGGTGGAGCTGGTGGTGTCACGGCCAATAGGGTGAGAGCTCACAATACAATCCAATAGTAGTGGGTGACATGCAGTACACACTATGCTGTTCACAAGACAGTTCAGGTTGCAATAAAACAGCCTCGGTGAAGGTGTTGGGCTGGACAAGAATCTGACGAATTTGTATTACTTCTAAAGTAACACACCATATGTTCTTTAGCAACATAATTTCTTGCTTTTGTTAAGTACAGGTTTGAAAATGTATTTTTAATCAATATTAAGTAATGTCAGGGCAAGGTCTACCTGCAACTGTATGCTGGGATAGGATTCAGAGCTTTGTGATCCAGAGAAAAGAACAGTCAGCTTGACAAGATGAGTTTTGAACCAAGTTAAATTGTACTCTTTTGCCAAGCAGCTAAACATAGTGCTTCGTAGTCAGCACCTACAGGTTCACGTGATGTTTTTGTACAGGAGTTTTTCAACATGAATGCAGCTCTATCGACTCAGGCCTTGTATGGGACTGAATATCATCACCCAGCAACTCTCTCTTCCAGTTGTTTTTGTAAGGGGAAATTGTGAGGAAAACCAGCAGCACCTCTGCTTTGTCATTTCCTATATTTGACCTGCTTTGTGCTGCTGAGGGAGCTGCTGGGTGAATGATGACTAATGGTCATTAAAGTACAGTGCATTCAGCATGAGCTCTGATTGATCCTCTCCATCCCCTTCTTCACTTTTGTTTCACCCACTCTCTTTTTTCAGGGATATTCCAAGGATACCAGACAGCACACATGCACAACTGGAATCAAGTGAGTTTTGTCAAGATCTTTGACTGATTTTATTATCTCATTTCATTCTGTTACTCAGCCTAGAAACATCAAGTGAAGGAAATGTCTCAGAGAGTTGCTTCGGCCACTCTGCCGTTCTGTATTTCTGTCTTCTCCTGCCATGCTCTCTTGCCCTCTATGTGTCTCGCTTCTTGTCTGTCTGTCTTTCTTACTACCTCCCCCCTTCTTGTGTTATTGCGTCATGCTACTATAGACTTGTTGTTTGTGTCCTGTCAGGTTCGAGTTCTTTTGAGTCTCAGAAGATGGATCGCCCATCCATCTCTGTCACGTCCCCCATGAGTCCCAGTATGCTGAGGGACGCCCCCCAGTACCTGTCAGGACAGCTCTCAGTAAGTGACCTCAGCTCAACATAAAGACTACATGTGAAATCTCTGGACTATATTGCTTTGAAGTCACATGAGTGAAATGGGTTTGTGAGTATAATATTCACATTGAAAATAAACTGACAGGGCTACTAGGCACCGCTTCTCTCACTCTGCCTGCTCAGCTGGCCCTTCACCAATACAGGAATGTAGATCAGGTTACTGTGTGTGTTGTCCATTATCTAGTAATAAAAACCCTCCTGGGGTAAATAGGTAAAGGGCTGCATTAAAGCAAGAGATAAATCAACTCTCAAATTTAGGATCCATGAGGGAAATCGTAACAGCTTCAGGACATGTTTCTCTCACAACATCAATATTTATGAGAAAAGTTGGGTCTGGCATTGTGATTGAACATCAGAATTCACAGTCTGTCCCATTTAGTCATTCAGAATGTGATGATACTTCTAGCACGCATCCCGACAGCCAATCAGAAGAAGCTGTGCAATCGGCAAACCTGTTTCTCGCCCAAATGCCTCTTTTATTCTGTATTTCGATGAGAAAGCTGACCTTGAAATCTAAAAACAGCTAATCACTGATAAATAATTCTGCACAGTAAGGAACTGTCTGTGTGATGTTTTTGGACCAGTCTTTGAAATGTGTTTAGGGAAAACAAGAAGGGTTAACGTCACTGTGACGCAAACTCTCGAGCAGAGGAGAAAAGGTTCAGAGAGGAAAGAGGGAGTATAATTGTGAGCCATTAATAATTTGCTCAAAGGGACTGTGCAAAGCAGAACAGAGTGGAGAAGCTCAGGGGACAGCAATCTTTGATAATGCAGAAATGAAAGGTGAGAAAGAAAACACTCACTAACCCAAATCTCCCATTTAAAACTACAGACTTCTCTTGTTGTATTTAGAATGTATTGTGAGTCTTTGGTTGTTTTGTGGGGTTTCGGGTTTATTGCATTTTCTTTTCTTTCCTTTTTTTTCTTTTTGCTGTTTAATTTTGCTGATGCAGAGCCAAAGCCTTAGTAGAAGAACAACGCCTTTTGCCCCTAGGGTCCAGGTAATGGGCCCTGTCTTAAGGGCACAATCTCTATTTGGTCTTTGCTCATTGACTGTTGACTGGCCTTTTTTCTGTTCCCATACTTGGGAAAATGCATTCTTGGGGAAATGGCAGCTTCAGGTTTCCCTCACAGTGCAGTGCATTGTGTCATTTCTTTTCTATTTGATTTATTGGTATCACTGTTATGATGACAGTTATTATTACTCATTTAACCCATTCACATCATTATTTCTAGGTAGTGCATGCTCAACTAATCTGAACAGAATTTAAGAGACACTCTTCTATTGCCTGTTTTTTTCTATTGAGTCCAGTGATTGGCCATGTTCTGTGTAGTATTTTATGGCAATGCAGGAGGGTGTCTCCATTAATAGCTCTAGGACTTGGGTTGTTTTCTGCTTCACTGTGACATGAAACCAGGTCTTGAAAATACAGAAGTACTTCTCTATGTGCGACTTAAAGTGATGTTAATTAACAGACCATGGTCGATGGATCTGGAGTTGCATGTTGCAGTGAAAAGATACAGTACCAAGTTCACTGACCTGTCGTGGAAACCAAATTGCATTTTCCCTTCTAGATGAGAGGTAGCAAAAAAGCAAATTGTACCTTCCATACAACAAACTTCAAACAGAGGCAAGCTTTGGAGGCTTTCCTTCACAATGAGGGTCTCTTTTATCTGTCATCCTGAATATTGCTCTGTCTTTTCTGAGGTTTTCGTCTTTTGTATTCCTCATTCACTTAGCCTGAAGCTTAATATTCCTTCTCAGAACTTTGGATATTTATCTCACTGACAATGTTACAATATGTCATTGTGCTTAAGAGTACCTTCAAAAACCCTTTTGTAGATCTGATAAGAGAATATTGTTATGATGCATAATTGAGCATGCAGATGTCTCCAGAGATATGCACTGTGGGTTTTCAAAATTTAGCGGTATTTAAACACATATGGACTGACTTAAATTATTCAATTTTTTAATGTTTGTATGCGTGTTTTTACAGTATGTGTTTTCTCTTGGAAAAGCTTGCATGTTAGAGTTAATGATTAAATTGGACACAACGTAAAGCCACTTATGTAGTGGATATTTGAGTAGTTTGTAATTAGACCTTGCGTCTTATTATAAGTTTCCATGGTGAAAGTTTTCAGAAACATGTTACTAATCTACAGACAGACAGTAGTTCAAGTTTTGTAGTATCTGATGATTTGGTGGGCTGCAGGTTTAGAGATGATTTGGTACAATTTGTTTCCCCTTAAGGCCCCTGTTGTCTGTTTTTGCCTAGTATATCAAATCTATTGACTTGTCTTGAATGCCTCCTCTTGCACTTCTGCATGTCTAGCTGGTAGTTTTAAACAGGACAGACCCTTTCCATTTTCATAATTTTAAAGAAGTATGGACAAGAGCTTAGAAGCTTTATTTCTCATTTCATGTACTTCCTTTAAGGTTCCGTTGGACTCTTCTGGCTTCTAAGTGTTTTCCTTTTGAGTCCATACTTCACTTTCAGTGTGAACTATCTGATTCCTTTCGCAACAGCATGGCTGATTTCTCCATATCAATGTCCACTGAATATGAGAAGAATGTCATTAGAGACATCATTATCACTGGTAGATGGATCATTTCAAAAGAGCACATGCTGTTTAGAATGTGAGAGCACATTCCTTTAGCTTTCACTTCAATTCATCTCAATTCAAATGACATTCAGACCAGTTGTATTCGGTTCCATTCGATCAACTTTGTTCACTAGAGGAAGTTTTTAAAACAGCACAAACTCATACACCATGTGCCAAAGGAGGGTCTCTGTAAATGCAGAGGCTAAAATACGACTCATGCTTTATTACCTTATTTTGATATTTGTAGCACTATCATACCATATTCACAGTGATACAACAAGCCCATGTTTTAGTGAACAATCAAGCTTTGGTAAATTTTCCCACCAAGCATGTGACCTGACATCATCTTAGCAGGTAGATGTCGTCTTCCTTTTTTCTGAAGGGTCAATACAGGAGAAGATCCTATGCTGTAGTGAGTTGAAATTAGATCAACCTCAATAAAAGAAGACACACATGCACATGTAATATTTTAATTTCTAACTTCATGAAGTTGTCTTCTCCTGCATTATTCCCTCTATGTGTTGTTGCTCCTGTTAGGCCTAAGCTGCCTCTCAGTAAGCTGTCTCTGCTCTGCTCTGTTGCTGCAGGTCAAACTGTGGTATGACAAAGTGGGCCATCAGCTAATAGTCACCATCCTGGCCGCCAAAGACCTTCCACCCAGGGAAGATGGCCGGCCCAGGAACCCTTATGTCAAAATCTATTTCCTCCCCGATAGAAGGTAAGAGTAGGAAGAGTTATCATTTGCTGCTCTGCTTGGTTTACCCACCCCACTCATTTAATACCATATCATTTCATTGCATTCGGAAGTATACTTAACACTGGTGAAAAGCAAAGACATGAAGTAGACTGACGTGATGTAGATATGGTGTCACCAGTTCCTGTGTCATTGTTTTACATCAGGAAAGACAATATGGATATCTGTGGATGTGTCCAATTACTTTGTTGGAGGTTTTGGTGTAGTTTTGCAGTTTATTAAGCAGTTCTTTCTCATGCACTGATGAAGGATGCAGAAAGTGGGTCTTCAGAGAGATAGTACTGTCATCTTGCCATCTTGTTTTCATCAGCATGCCACAGTGCTGTGCTCTGTGCTGTGTTGTGTTTTTGACCTGTTGTATTCGTGGCTCTTCCCTATCATGGTTGTAAATAAAAACAGTTTGAATTATTGTTCCTCCAGCGACAAAAGCAAGAGGAGAACAAAAACAGTAAAGAAATCCTTAGAGCCCAAATGGAACCAGACCTTTATGTATTCTCCGGTGCACCGGCGGGAGTTTCGGGAGCGCATGCTGGAGATCACACTGTGGGACCAAGCCAGGGTGAGGGAGGAGGAGAGCGAATTTCTAGGAGAGGTAAGAAAACTAAGCCAATCGCCCACCACCGATATCAGGAACACTCCCTGACAGTATCTCAGTTTATTCTCTAGAATGGGATTAAGTCCTTAATACAGCCACTACAAGGTTTTTGGTGGTGCAGTCCTTGTCCAACACAGACAGGGAATTTTATTGTTTTTATTTTCCCTGTAAAATGCCCATTTCATCAGGAGGAAGGCAGCTGTTTGGGCTTGACCTGTGTGAATATCATGAAACTAGTGTGTGATGTGTTTTTCTGTAATGCCATCACTGAGTTACTTTGCACCCACTGGAGTGAGGACATTTTTGGGATAAGAGACCTTACTGTGGCCTTTACTTCTGACAGATCCTGATTGAGCTGGAGACGGCTCTTCTTGATGATGAGCCACACTGGTACAAGCTACAAACACATGATGTGTCCTCCATCCCGCTCCCACGTGCTTCCCCGAACACTCAGCGCAGGCAGCTCCATGGAGAGAGTCCAACAAGGCGGTTACAGAGTGCGTAAGATCCCTGTTCCTGACATGTGTGACAAAACTGTTTTTGATCTGCTGAAATTTACAATATAGAAAGAGTGGAAGTAACATCCCATAAAAAATAAACCAGCGTATACAAAGAGATATAAAGGCCCAAACCCCATTCACCCCCTTGCCTCTACCACTTAGCCCTAACTCTCTGTTCTGTGTGTTCACGTGTACTGTAGGGGTGTCTCGACTCTCTTTAGGATTGAGGGGTAGGACGAAGAGGTAGGGCTACATAGCCCTTCAAATGGAGGGTTTTTAGAGGCAGACTCAAAACCAAGTGGTATGATGCTAACTACAACAGTGACGTTGATGCTACACAAACAAATGCACCAGCATCCCCTGGTGTAAAAAACATATTTATTTGCTGTTGAACATCACAAACTGATGCTTTTATACCACGCAAAAGAATTCACCACAGCTGAAGATGGCATGGTGTGATTCAGAATTTCCCACAACAACTCATTGCATCCCCCGCCTTCGCCCGATTGCTGGCTGGGATTAGCTCCAACCCCCCCGTTTGGGAATGAGCGGTATAGAAGATGAATGAATGAATGAATGAATGAATGAATGAACTCCTTGCATCTGTTTATTTAACCACTGTTTTCAACCACTACTCGTTGTACCCATGTTTTGAGGGTTCAAAAATGAGAGTTAGTGGTGGAAAAGGGATTGAGGAAAAATACAGGAACATTGCCAGACATGCAGTAATCTCAGGCCCTGTGTTTTTCTCCACATCCTCTGGTCACAGTGCAGCAGCAGGAGGTAAACTATATCCACAAAACTGTGAGAAGTTGAAAAATTCAGCTTTTAAAATGGCACTGGTGGATGTCAAGCAAGCTCACATGAACGTGCAACTGTCTGGAGATAATGATCATTCAAGGAAATCCTTAAACTATCACTTAAGACGTTATTTTGTTAGAAAAAAAGTCTTGAAAGCGAGAGTTTGCAAAATGTGTATAAACTGAGTTGCTTCTCCATGGAAGTACTAGAACATACGTACACCTTGTTTTTTGAGCTTTAGGCCATATCTAAGATGATAATTCACAGTTGTAACATTGTAGATAATAACAAAAAAACAAAGAAAAACATGCCATGTGCCCTTTAATGAATTTCAAGTCCCATTGTCAACTGGTTTTCTGTTGGTACTTTAGTTTATCAAGGCTTTAACAACTTTTGTGGTTTATGCATCTTTTGTCTTTGTCATCTGCTTTGACAGACAAAGGCTCCTATTCATACAACTCAGGTAAAGGCCCCCAGCACTCAGAGGCAGTGCTGCTCTGTGAAGCATCTGAGTGTTGTCCTATTAAAAGACACCCCTTGTGCTCTGAGTCTGTGCTCCTTTTTCCATGACTGGTATAGGTCAGGTATAGGACATAGTGGTCTCTCCCTTTATTCATTCACCTGTTAAATATCTCACAGTCCTTCCTTGCAACTTACAACCTTATCCTGCAAAACTGCACTCGATCCTCATCCTAAAGTGGTGTTAATAAAGCTTAGGCTATGTGCCAGTCCTGACAGGAACAATACAATCTGATTATATAGGATATTTATTTTGACCACTTGCTTTTCCCCTGTGATATACTATATATTAATTATTATTTTGCCTGTTATGAATATTTTCCCTTTTAAAATTGCACAAAATACATTTGGCAAACCTTGCAGCTCATTCTGCTTTGCTTGTTTGTGTGTCTTTGATGCGAATATGTTCTTGACAATTGTTTTGGGAAGGGCTGGAGACTTACTGAGTACTTGTAATCTTACAAAAATAATCAAATCATTATCTCATCTTTGTGCATAAAATTTAACCAATACAAAATCCACATTGCTGTAGTTGTTTTTATGTCCCCCACCCAAACACTGCTACTTTTTACAACCAGATAGATACGTTCAGATGACTATGCAATAGTCAGTGTTACACAGAACTGCTTCATTGTACTGCTTCTAACAAACTCTTGAGGTTTGCTCACTTCCCCAGCAGGATACTTTTCTGGGTGCTTGTATTAGTGTGAGGTGAAAGAGCTGATAGCTGTAAAATGTTTTCAGTAAACTGAGATGAGAGGTTGGGAGCAACACTTATTTTGTTTTTTTTTTCTGAAAAAGCACATGTTTCCTGTCTATTTAAGTTGACTGAACGGTGAACGTGAACGTGGTGGGTTGGATGCAGGGAGGGGGCCGTGCTTTAGAGAGAGAGGGGTGATAAGGCTACTAGGGAGGATGAAGAAACACCTGTAAAGCCATATCACTTTTCCCATCCCACCCTCACTTGTAACCTGAATGATTTAATGCATATTTTCAGTGTCACAGCTCAAACAAAGAGAGATATGTTGTTTGTGTTGAGGCTGAGCAGCGCAATGTAGCATTATTTGTTATAGTTGATGCATATTTTGTGCAGTGCAATGGCAAGAGTTAGGGGCTGACCGTATTTTTACTGGATGTGCATCCTAATGGATTCAAAATTACATTCAGACCAGGGAGGCATAATGCCAAAAAAAAGGTGGATGAATGAAATAAAGAATGTGATCGACTCTCCCCCTCTTTCCTAATCTCTCCATCTGTCTCTTTCTATCCTGTACCACTTTTTATCTCTTCTATATGTCCATCTCTTTGTCTTCAAGGATCCCAGAGGATAAGTGACAGTGAGATATCAGACTACGATTGTGAAGATGGTGTTGGGGTAATAACAGGTAAACCAGCATGCAGTCCAAGACTTGAACGTGCAGCTCACTTTGAACTCATGTGCAGTTTTCATCAGGCCTTGTTATCGTACATATCTCTGACATTTTGTGTTTATTTCCTCTGGTGGTCGAAGTTAGCTAGCCTCTGACACATCACCACACATCAAATGTTTCAGACCTGATCAGCTTACAAATACCATTATATATTATTAGCAGAATAAAATGCTGCAGCCCGTCAACAGCAGGGAGCTTTTGTGTGCCTCCACACTGCTAGCTGCTCTTCTGCTGTACTCACTGAGACTCCAGGAGCACACGCTCACTGCACATCAGAGAGGGAGAGGTAGAGCTGTTACGAAAGGCTGAAAAGTACCTGAAATCTGCCCACATACAATCGCAACCTTGGGGAAAATGATGCTGAAATAGGTAGCTATGTCACTGAAAAAATAGGGACCTGCTTAATTTTTTTCGTGCAAAAAACAGTGCTAGAAGGCCCTATAGACTTTGTGATGCCTTTTCATTAAATATGATTTTTTCTATTCTTTCACTTGAAGACCAAAAAAAATTGCCAACTTTGTTTTTTGCAGAATGGAGATATCGATCTGTTCTGTTGGTTTACAGCTGATAATGTTTCACATCTCTGTGAGGACATTCAGGCTACAGAGAAGAAGGGCGAGTAAGAGTATAAGAAATAAAAAAAACTGCATTGAAGAGAGAAGTGAATAGAGTCAGTTAATGTAGCACGCTGCCTGTCAGACAAACAGCGAGGGAAGGAGTCTGAGCCTGAGCTTGCTGATGTTTCCGTTACTGTGGGGAATCCTCCTCCAGCCTCTTTATCATTCTCATCAGCCTCTCACTGCCTCACCATGCCAGTCCCCTTCATTCACAGAGAAGGGAATACCCCTTCACTCAACTCTGGTTATATTCGAGCTCCACCACATCTTAGAGTATCCTGCAATCTTTGCATTTAAAACATCTAACACTACTGTTTTTAGATTAGGAAGAAAAACTATTTTTTTATATCTAGAAGTGAACTCTCTCATTTCAGAGTACATCTAATCCAGCTGTGACCTTCACTTCTCTCCCCTCCTTCCACACCGAAGCAGCCTCATTCTTCTTATTAAATCCATTTAATTGTCAGTAAAGGTTCTCCTCTTTATATTTGTTTAACAAGTGGTACACATGCCAAGAGGAAGAGTAGATTTAATTTGGCTCTGCATGGAAAATGACTGCTCTGCTGCAGGATGCTCTGGGTTGGAGCTACTGTTTAGAAATGAAAGATTTTTTTCTATGTTAAACCCAACGTACATCAGAATGAAGCAAGAGACACATTTTTTAATTATTTATTTAGCTTTGGTTGATAAAAGAAAGAAAGCAAGTGTATGAGAATAGTGAAACTACAGTGTGTGACAGGTTCAGAATCAGACCTGCATCCACTTGTAATCAGGACTGATCAAATGTTTTAACTGTGTGGAATGTTCTAATTTTGTGCACAGCTACCTTCCATCAAAAAGAAAATCTTATCATGTCAATATGTCAAAATTCCTTAAATGAAGATCAGCATTTCTTCATCATGTTCTACCTTTTCTTCTTTCCCAACCTTTGATTCAGGGTTTCTTTACCTCATTTTAACATGCTGTACACTTTATTGAATATGAATCCATTATAACAGTGTTAAACACTGACTTTAACCATGGCTGCTATCCCTGTGTGTTTATTGGTTAATGAACTCATTCAAGATCACTGGACTAATCAGTCTTGCAAAGAAAATTTATTATAATGTTTCTGATTTTTTTAAAGGCTATTTTCATTTTTAATGCACAATGTTAACACAGCTGATGAATTTTACCTAGTTCTCATTTTTGGAATATTGAGACTCAGCAAAATGAAAACAGAGAATCTGTCACCTTGTGCAGAACAGCATGTAGCATAACTTTGAAAATGTAAATAGAACTCTGTTGTATTTGTGATGTTGGTACATAAATTAGTAACCATCTAAATAACCCAGGACCCTCTCCTTCTTGATCTCCCTCTGTCCCGTCTTCACAGACTACAGGCCGAATGGCAGAGACTTCCAGAGCTCCACGTTGTCTGTTCCTGAGCAGGTGATGTCATCCAACCACTGCTCTCGGTCAGCTGATATAAACAGGGCGCGGTCACGTTCTCCCAGTGTTCCCCCACCCTCCAGGTAACTCCTGGGCTAAACCTTGACATCTGGTTATACACATGTTTCGTTTTCTTTATTGAGGTGTATATCATGATTATGTTCATATGATAATGATGTACTTTACACTATAATTTTGTGTTTTTTGAACATTTGGAGATGGATGTATTAACTTTCTTGCTTGGGAATTGTTTCAGTTTTGCTGATGGAAAGACATGCAGGTTTGATTATCTTAGTTGGAAGACATGACAGTCGGGTTACTGTGAAAAAAATGAGAAATTTGAAAATAGTCACCCATTTTGTTGTAGCATCAAGTGCTGCTGTGCTCACGAGTTGCAAATGCATATCACTCCTATGTAGGATGCAGTGTTCCTAGTAGTTGCTGTGAGTTCTTCAGCCTCTGTATGAAACCATGTGCCCCCAGGCCAGTAGGGGGCAGTGAATGGTGTTTTACATGAGGAGTGATCCAGTCCACTTCTGTCACACAGCAGAAGTCTGGGCCTGGACTTTGGCCTTAAGCCCTCTCAGTACAGCTCCCCCTCTAGAGTGGACCACAACAGTGTGTGGGAAGATAACGACTCACCTGGCAGGTACAGACCCTCCCCACTTTATCCTTGTGCACAGTAGGCGCATGGACATGCAGTGGGCATGCATGAGCAGATGCTGACAAGCACATGTGGGGGCTGATGAGTAGATCTGCAGGGAGGTGTTTCTGCACACATTGCCTTAGACTATCTGTAAACCAATCTATTATGCTTTCAATTTTGTGACATCCCTGCTTTTACAGAGCAACGGTTTCCTTTCTTTGTAAATATGTGAGCAAATTATTTTTAACCTGATACAGTGGTGTGGATCCCCTATGCCTTGATACTGGCTTCCTCTGTTTTCCTCCATACTGGATATAAACTGTATTGCTCCAAACTTCCAAAAGAAAGATTTGTGTGTGTGTATCTGTGAAAACAAATAAACACAACAGATACACAATAAAGAGTATCACACTCTAAAGATAAAAATGAAGTTATATCACATAAAATGTCAGAAAAAGACTAATTTGATCACAGTTCAAATTCAGAACAGACCTGGATAAGATGCCACTCCATCTTACAGTGTGTCCAGTAGGATGAAATTATGCAAGAACCATTTAGAGCCACTGATGAAAATGCTGCTATAGTACTGCTATCTTTATGGTCAACAGAAAGTGGTCAGTTATCCATCTTCACTATGTTTTGTGAGGGTTGGAAAATGTTGCTCAAGGAGTCCATCCATAGCCTTGGCTCTGCCAGGCTGCAGCTACTTTCTCCTGTCCAATTAACTTTATTTGATATTTCTGAGGCTTGGTCTAAATCAGTGTCAGATGCATAAAATGCACTTATCTAAATTGTCTGGGACAGTGCTCACTTCAGTGTATTTCAGCTGCTTTAATTAACAGTGTCTGGTTATTTACCGAAAACAGTTGAACATGACACAGCAAATGAGTCACGGAGAATCTGAATTTATCCCAGAACTCCTACACTATTAAAGATATGTCCTCTGGAATTTCTATGGCTTTTCTTAGGGCTGGAATTTGATTTAAAACTTGTGTCATTTTCACTGCATTTTCTGCTTTTAGAACTATTTTTGTAATTGTGTCTGTAAAAAGAAGAAATCTTTTGTAATCCACATGATCTTACGTTGCTTTATCATCCAGTAGAAGGGACACCAAGCAGGTTTAGGTGTTTGGACTGCACTGTTTTGTTCTCTCCTCTGTGAATGATGCTGGCATGCTCAGTGTACCTCTTTCATCTGTCTGTGTGCTGAAGCTGATGAAGACATCTCTTCACCATCTGATTTCTCAGCCTCTCTTATTTTCCTAGCCTGTTCTTTCTCTTTGAAACTATTACTGTATATTAGCCTTTCCTATGAACCTTCTCAGTCTCTTTACATCCTGTTTCTTTGAGAAGTCTCTCGTTCTCTCTCCCTCAGTTTCCTCACCCCTCCATCTGTGTTGCTATGACTCTATCTCCAACCCCCCACCCTCCCCTGTTCCACCTCCTCCTCTGCTTCTTCCTCAGCACCATCTCAGATCCATCTCTGTCTTCTCTCCTCCTTCCATGTGGTCGCAGCCATTTTCTCACCCTACCTCGAACCAGACACACTCACCTTTTTGATGATCCCCAAAAGGACACCAGGTAGACTTTTACCTGAACTCGCATGAAGCCCCATCTCTGCACCTCAGCACCCAGTCAACTCTAGCCCACAAATCCTTTCTTTTCACTCTTCTTTTATTTGGGTGTTGAACACATGGCACTGACACTATGGCTATCAAAGCTTTACCTCATTGTAGTCTGTGGCGAGTGGCCATAAGGTCGTTTGAAGTCCACTAAGTCTAACCTACAGTCATCTATCACACCACATATGTGAAAATGTTATAAAGGACATTCATATCACCTAGCCATTGTCAGTGCCATGATTGTTGTGCTGTAGTGTTAACTTATATATAATGTATATATTTCTTCTGCAGAAGATTAAATATATACATAATGTGTGTTACTTTTCAGTAGTAGAGTATAATTTGAATGATAATTTGACCATACACTTCGTCCGTCCACTATCAGCATTGCTTACTCTCACTTCTCACCATCTCATTTCCATGAGAGCATTTTTCTCCAAACGTTTGCCATGTGAACAAGTGTGATTCCTACTCTAGATGAATACATTTCTCTTTTCACCTTATTCACCAAAAGAGACTATGGCAATACTGAAAATGGATAAGTGTTCTGTGGTTGTGAAGTCTTGTCCAGCAGAGGTGCTTTCTCCTACAAACATGGAGATGCATTCAGTGTAGTAGTGTATATTAGCTTTGCATCTATGGGTTGATATATATGTATGTACTGTATTCAGACAGATATAAACACTCTGGATTTTGGGTTGACATATATGTATGTACTGTATTCAGACAGATTACAGGTAAAGTCTGTTACTGGTATTCACAAGTATATTCCAAAATCCTTTGCAGTTTTTTTTTTTTTTTTGTATTCATTTGTTACCTGCCGTTGTGGTGAAAAAAATTGAATGCTGACCAGTTATATTTTTTCGCCAGCCGCAACCATCGTGTGTACCCAATCTGCAGAGAGGAAGCAGTCAGGTTACTGCGTTCCACTAGGATGACCCGCGCCTATTCTGAGGGCGCCTACTCCTCCGACTATGACTATGAGAGGTATTAACATGCACTGCCGCTGCATCTGTGCATCCGCCATCATGTGGTCTCCTCAAGCTGTCCCTCGTCCGTCTTTACTTTATCCGTGATCGTACATGTGATGACAGTAAAAGATATCCTGTCTGATATCGGTTTTTGTTCAGGAGTCATCACAGCTCTGAAGTTGTGTAGATGTACGGTAACGGTACACAACTGCCTCTGTATGTTGAGGCTCAGAGCTACAGTATTTGTGTTGCTAATGTTAGCTGTATGTATTCTGGTTGTTGAGTGAAGTGCTGGCCAGCACCTGAATGTTTCTTTGTCGATGTCTTTGTTTTATGTACCCATGTGCATTATACCAACAACAATATGTTGTTCAGTGGTGTGTCGTTCTTTTTTACATGCTATCGGCAGTTGTTTTTTGCTTACCCATACACTGGCATCTCAGATGCGTTGCCCTTTGGCTTTTTGTGTCTGGCCTGAATGGGCTGCTGGCCCATTCCAAGCACAGATTTTAATAGGCCTGCTGACACCCATCCATCCCAAGGACCCACACCAGTGTCCTGGTGTGCCAATAAAAAACAGAACTCTCATGGCCCCCTCTAGAAAAACGCTGTAAATGACTCCATTTTTCTGTCTTCAGTCTTCCACCTGCTCCATCTGGCTTTCAGTAAGCAATAACATGACTTTTGTGCCATTTCTCTCCTCACCAGGAGAACAAAAGTGATGAGTCCTCAGAACCCACCCTGAGAGCCTGACTGGCTTTATTAAAGTGTCACATAGTTTCCCTAAGGCCCAGCTTGGCTTGACTTCAGGCTCAGCCAATAGCCTAGACAGCCATTAACAAGAGCTCTGTTTATTTCTTTATTCTCCCTTTCTTTTTGTCTCAACTGAGAGAAGAGCGAAAGCAGCTAGAATTACAGCGTTATCCACAGAGGTGTAGAACAGCTTTCCTTCCTCTCTCCTTACAGATACAGTTTGTTTTTGTCTGCACCCAGGCACAGTAAAAGCAAGCATGAGAAGTGAATAGAAAGGAGGGTACAACAGACATGTTAAAGAGGAAAAGCAGAAAAAGATAAGCAGTGCAGAACATTAGTGGTGTTTGAGGCTTTTGGCAAATGTCTTGGTTTAGGTGATTTCCCCGTAGAACATGAGAAGATGTTTTTCATGGTTCTGTTGTTTTCAGTGCATCACCCCAGAGTGTACCTTGAGTGGGACAAAGCCTGCAGAGTTAAGCATTTACACTGCAGCTTTTCCAAGCACAGAAATCTCAGTTTTAATCCAGTAACAATACAGTGAGTGGTGATATTCCAGTATATGTACTGTAAGTCATGGCTATACAGTACATCAAATTACACCTAATGAGGTGTTTGATTTGTAACAGATATAACCCTCATATTACCCATAAATCCTTGGCCGTAACTACCTCATTAGGGGAACCCATTTATGATTATGTTGACCATTGCTGTAAATGAGTGTAGATAAAGAATGTTCAAGGCTAATTGGGGTCACTAACTGATGAGCACCTGATTTGCTATTGGTGACAGAAAGGCCATTTTCTCTACTGGACAGTCTTTCACACTGCTAAGGGCTACAGACACTAGAGGACTATGAAAGGATTATGTGATATTTACAAATCAAATAATTGATTTTCTTCCACATTCTCAGAAATATTCCACAAAGTCGTGATTTTAAATTATTTGAGAGTCTGTTAGCCCCCACATATTTGTGTTGTGTAGATACCACCATGTCTTCTGCCCTTAAAAATCCAATGAATATGATGGTTTAGTTAAACACCAGGTTTGGGGGAACTTTTGAATGGTTTACGATTTATGAATTTAAACTTTAAAGAACATTTGTGCATGCTGTAATGATGAATATTTCCTTTCACTGTTATGATATGTGCGGTTTTGTGAATGTTTTTTTATTTTCTCTGTGGAAAGTTAAAGAATATCAGTGATTTTCCTGGTTGAGAACCTCACCTACTTTTTTCAGCAGCTCTTCAGATTGGCAAGATTTGCCTTCGTCTTCACTGTGTTAAAAACTGCACATATAATAGCTTTTTCAGGAAATAACAGAGCTAAATGCAATGGGAAGATGCACTTCACCTTTTGCCCACACCTCACCCTACCTCAAAGAGCTTGCAGAAGAACACACACCCATCACATGCAGTATTTAGAAACAGCACATGGTCGCTGGCAGGTGTACACACTGTGAAGGTATCACTGTTAATTGACTACACAGGCCGTAAGCCATACAGAAGCCACCAAGGTCCTCTGTTGACCTTTAAAATCAGGTGAGTATCTTCTCATAGACAACAACAGAATAAAACCGTAATGTTAACAGACAAAGAGTTGCATGGAAGTTGAGTCATATACTGTACAGTAGGTGCATGTCAGGAAAGCAAAACTGCACCACAAGTGGCCATAGAACATTTTAGATGTCATGGAAGAAAAACAGTTGTCAACTGTACATGCACTTCCAATGCTAAAGGTACATTAACAAAGATTTTTAACACTGTCTGGTAAATCCAGTGCCTGTAAAGGTACTCTAGTGAATTTCATCTCCGCCTATAAAGGTTCTAGTGAGACTCAAAACAAACTCGCACCATCTTTGCCCCTCCTGTCCTGTTTCCTGAAGCTACAACATAAACAATGGATGCCTGACTCCAACAAACTGTACAAAAGGCAGCTCCAGTCCACAGCTAGCATTGGCTCTATGGCAGCATTGTTGCTCCTTGACAGGATCAACTTAGTCATGTCTGTTCTGATCAGGACATGAACTGCTAAACCGGTTCAGCTTTTAGGTCACGTCATGGTGACAGTGGGGATGTCTTGAAACAGAAATTAGCTGATGAAAGCTTAGGTAACATAGCACACAGATAAGGATGACAGAGCTTTTGCTGTGGTGACCTCTTCGGTATGGCAGGCGGTGTTTTGGATGGAGTCTAACATGTAACTGCCAAGAGGTCCTCTATGGCTGGCTGTTAATAATTCATAATAATAACAGTTTAAAAAATGTTTCTTAAAGCTTTTGTTAGGTGGATGATATAAGGATCATACTTTGACAACTCAGGGTAGAGAAGATGGAACAAGAACAGAAGCACTGTATGTACCACAGTGTCACTTTACTTATCAGACCCTGTGTAAAATCTTGTCTTTTGACATTAAAATGCTGTCTGCTATTCTCTAAGAGTTGCTGAATAATTTTACTGATTCACTTTAGGGGCCCGTAGCTAAATATCTGCATTTTGGTCCATTAATTGGAAGTCATAGCCAACTGACCATTTTCCAAGTGGTTGCTGTGTTTAATATTCTTAAATGTGTTTTTCTTGCTTTCATAATAGGCATTAATATCCAATAAATATCCTGAGATCTACATTCAGTTCATTCCATGACAGACTTGTCAGAAAGACTAATGCGTGTATGCAGACAGAACTCTGCATACACGCATTACAGCGCAAGTATAATTAAATTTGGCCATAACAAAATCATACACTATTTTCAGTCCCTGTTTTGACCAAGTTTCAATTTAATTTCCTTACAATATGTTTAAGTGACTGGCTACAAGGGGGAAAATCATGTTCAGAAATTTTAACATGTTTGTTGTGATCTGAAAAATTGTCAACTATAACATATACAGTACAATGTTAAATGGATAAATGGCTTAAAACATGCAAGAACACAGGCATAGTCCTCAAGCACCACACACCTCAGATCAGTTTCGATGGTGCAACAAATTTCTGTGCCCTTCATACTGTCCACCCTGCCAGCATAGTATCCCTGTCCTGCTGGGGTGCCACTGAGTGCCTGCCTATTTTTCAATAACCTCTGTAGGAACCACGGAGCCATGGATAGACATGAGTATCACAGCAGGTCCCGCTCTGCAGACCAGCGGCCCACTATAGAGCGCCCCACGTCACGCTCACGCTCCACTGAACGCCCCCACGACTCTTCGCTCATGAGGTCCATGCCTTCTCTGCCATCTGGGAGGTCTGCTCCCCCCTCACCTGCCTTGACGAGGTGTGACCCAAATCGGAGACGCTAACCAGCTTAGCACAGAAACAGACTGGAGTTTTAGACGTGCAGTCATTTCCCTTGTGCACAGCTACTCTGAAAGGAGAAATCATTTTAAGCATAGTGTTAAAACTTCATTAAGTAGACCAAAGAACCACAGTTTTCTGGCCAAGTATCGTTGTAAGAGAAAAGCCCACTGAATACATTAAACTTAACCAGTTAACAGAATACTATTAAGTGCAGTATAGGCATACAGAGCTTTAATTTACTACGTTCCAGGTTGGTTAATCAGCCTAGCTACTGGACTGGCTACCTATTGTACTAACATAGCTTCATAATGGGTTATATCATATTGCCAAATGAATCAAATAAGAAGTAGATGTTTTGTTTTTTGTCAGTTATTGTCCTTGCCAAGCCGCCAAGCACTTGCTCAAGTAGGATTTGTTGGGTTTTTCCTCTATAATATTTATTTATAATATTAGACCTTACTTTGTAAAGTGTCCTGACATGGTGTTTGTTGTGATTTGGCACTATACAAATACATTTGAATTGAATTGAACTGAAGTTGGTCCGCTAGCTAGAGGATTGTAACTGTGAAATCTCTGGTTCTTTGCTCTAATGTAATTTCCTCTGCCAGAGCAGCTTCCCATCTAAAACCCCTGTAGAAGTAAGCCAGTTCAGACCTTGTCCAATGAGCTCGTACCCAGTCAACTGAGCTTGACGAACTCACAGAGTGGACGAGGAAACCCACATCACTCCCACCGACCTGCTACCCTCCCAGTCCCCTGTTCTCCTCCCTCACCTTGCTTCACCCACCCACCTCCCCCTCACAATTAACCCATCCCCCATATGGCCACTTTCTTTTTTTGTCCCCAAAAGCACGAGTGCTGTGTTTTCTTTACACATCTCCCAGGCACGATAATCCTGACACTGTAGACGCCGTGCTGCTGACTCATCTTAATTTGGAACACACTGCTCATACGCTTGTGTGAGTATAGCAGTGATGGGCCGACATTTTGCTTCGATTTCATTACTAACATCTACTGATGCCGTTTATCCTGTGATGGCATTCAGGGTTAATTAATTCATTTATTTATTTTTGTTTTTGGGGAAGGTCTGATTGCATGGTCACGCTGTTTCTGCATTGAACTCGTCTTTCCTTGCAGCTTGATGAGTCGACTGTACATGTGATTCACTCCTGGCATCTTTTATTGCAGCTCAACTCCCTACAGTTGATGTATCCCTTCACTTCCATGCCATGTGCCAAACATCACTGCTGCGTACATTGGTTTTATTTTTGTAATGTTTCTAATAATAAGGAGTCTTCTTCTCTTTGTTTCCCCATACATCAGAACAATTACTGTCACAGACTACCTGCTGTTCAGCTGGACAGTTACTTTTATCAAAGCAAATATATATATGGTGTTTGAAGTAAATGAATAAGTGGTTCTAGACAGGTGGATTAAATCATGTCACTTACCTATTGTAGCAAGTAGTTAGTTTTTAAGGTATATACATATATGGTACCAAATGTCTCCTGTTTGAAAGATTGTTTGTGTTTCTCACACTGTGGTGTGGGTGCAACATGGCCTGGCCGTGCATCCATCAAAAACTCTTGTCCTAATTTGAGTCTTATGCCAGATTCTACCACTTTTTGTCATATAGGGCGCATCCTCGTAGTGGATCAGTCCAGACCAGCCCCGCCAGTACTCCCATGTCGAGTAGACGAGGAAGGCAACTACCGCAGCTTCCACCCACTGGGAAGGACAGAAGTAAGTGTTTTCTGTTTGTACCACAGGGCTTGCCTCATGTTTTTATTAGTGCGATAGTGTGCTTCTGTTCAGCATCCTGTAATTATATATTTTTTATTTGTCGGTCCAAACAGTTTGGGCCTGAGGACGCACTTTGGTTTTACAGCAGTTTCCGTTTTAATTCTGAAAAATGGCTGGCACCTTTAGTATAGCTAAAGAAAATATCATACATGCTAGGAATTTTCTTTGTTTTGTTTCACTGGTGTTTACTTTCCATTCATGACATACTCGGTTCCTTTTCCATTTCTCTCTCAGAAGATGGAGACGAAGGAACAGAGCCTTATGAAGGTCTGTAGCTGAATGTGTGGGCTTAGTCTTTCAGACTAGGTGTGCTAGTTGAGCCACACCTTATTCTGAAGGTCAAAACCCTGTATGCAACAGTGGCTGGCTGGGTTCACTGGAGGCTGAGCTTATTCTGTACCCCTTGAACCCTCACTCTGTTGCAACTGTGTAACGTACAGTTGAGATGTCCTGTGCCATTGTGTTGTACTTACTTGTAGGTCTGTCTGGATCCTGCTGTTGATAGTACCAGTGTTGTGTTCAAACGTACTGTAGCTTCCCCGTTTCTTTGTTTTGAGTTATAATGTATACTTATGCTAGATATTGTTTTTATTTGTCTGGGAATGATTGATGTATTTTAACTTCTTGGACTGCTGAGATACTTCACTACCAAAGATAATCAAGCGCTTTACTGTGCTCAAAGCCTAGTTGACCCTGTCTAGCAGGCAGTGATTAAGGCACAACAGTATGAACTTTCCACATCCCTCACAACTACAAAGTGACATTTAAAGTCATGTTTGTTCCTCAGCACTCCGTTATCAAATGTTATGTGTTGTTGTAGTAACTTGTGACGTGTACTGTAAAAAGCACAGTAATGAAAGCAGGGGTTGTTTTGCTGTGAAAAACAAAGATACTGTAGTTCAGTGGCTTTGCAGTGACTGGAGGGAATGATGGGACAGGAGGTGTGGCAGTTCTGGAGAACTTGTCAAAGCACTTGCAGAACTCTTTTGTCA